GTGGCCCACAGGCGGCGTTTATCCAGCAGCCAGAACATCCATCTGTGCCGGCCCCCAGGTCAAGATCTACCGTGGCTCAAGGGCCTTCACCAGAGCCATCACCACCAAGGACCAGCAGACCAGCATCACTACAGCTGCCTCCACCTCCATCTGCGGCTGCGACCAGGTCAAGATACACCTCAGCACAAAGGCTCCACCACAGCCATCACCTTCAACCCAGCCAGCAAGGAGGTCTCGTGGAGGTCTCGTATAGCACTTGTACACCCCACCTACACAGCAGCCCATGCACCATCACCCCCATCTTCACAGCAGCCAGACCCACTGTCTTGGAAGACAGACAAAGACCTTGACACTGTCTTCACATTTATAATGAATAGTTGGTTGAAAGTTATGATGTTTAATATTGTAAATAGTTAGATTTTCCAGTTTCTTATATTTATATAAATAGTTGGTTGAAAAAAACATATTTATAATAAATTGTTGGTTGAAAAAAAGGTTGAATGCTCAATTTCTATTTGTACACATCACATGAACCTTGGTATGTAATATGAAGTCATTATTCAGTCCTGATGTATCTCAGTCCCTGCTGTGGTGAAAGTAGAGTGATAAACACCTATTTTACTCAAAATTCGAATTTAATTTTTTTCATTTTAGACATGAATAACACATTTATATACAGTGTAATTCAAATATTTCACTGCTTTTGTTATCCTAAGACTTTGGTAACCAAATCTAAAACACCAAAACAATTCGATCACATGAGTCAATTTGTGTTTTCACAAAAGTTTTGAAGATTTTCCGAAAATCAGATGTCAAATTTTAAGCTTTTGAGCTACTTATCTCATCAAACAGTGCTCTAAGGTGAGTAATTTGCATATATAGCAATACTAGAGATTGTCCTGAACATTTTGATATGTAATACATGGGTGCCATGTTAGAAGAAATACATTTAAAAAGGTGATTTAAGAAAACATCTAAAAATCGAGAAAATACCCTTAGACTCCAGAGGGTTAAAAAAAATAAAAATTATAATTTGTATATATCCCAATGACACCTCTCCTTGCCTAGATAGTGGAAGAAGGCGCCAGGGTCCAGTTTACATTTGAAGACAGCAAACTCAACCATGTTTCCTGTCAAAACCTTCGCTGAGTTAATAACTCTTTGTACTCACAAGTCAGCTGGAGGTTGGATTTGGCCGTGCAGTACGAAGATTTGACTTTTCGTTGCGCTGAAGGTCATTTGGTGTGGGAGGATCTCTACCCTGTGTGGCTGGACTTCCTGGCCACATGTTATCCCTGGCAATGAACTGTAGTCAGGTTGGAAAAGTTGGGGTGAAGGTGGCTCGTGCTTTAGCTGAGATGCCCGGACCTTGAAGCTTTCTGATGGCGTTTCTCTCCCTGCAGTGAAGAGAAAGGCCCACTGCTTCTGGTGCAACTGTCACCCAGGTAGACTGCTCAGTTTGTCAGGGGGTACAATGTCAGTAACTCACCGTGTTGTCTCGAAAAGCAGAACCCATCTTGTTTGCTAAGCTTTCGGGTATGACCTTTTAGCTGTGACGGAGTGATAAAAGAGAATGACGACCTGAACGAGGGTCGGTCACCGATGGATCAAATGAAACATCGACTTTCAGGAGGCAGCCATAAATTAGAGAGCATTTGGAGGTTTCTAATTTGTGACATACCTAATGTAGTTGGCCCGGTGTGAGCTTCAGAATTTAGAAAAGTGCACAGACATCTCATTGTTTAGTGAGGAATGTGAAAAGACCTCTATATTGACAATCTTTGCACATTTACAAGCCAGTTTAACCAAGGTTTGACATTTGAGGGGGATCAAAGGAAAACACATACTGTATGAGTGGATGGGATCTTATATCAATGTATTTATTATAACTGGTCTCGCAATGGAGTGTAGCTCAATCAATTACTTGTTACCTCCTAAAATCAATGTCAAGAGATAACCCATTAGCAACTGTTTAAGTAATCAATTAAAAATTCTAAAGTGTAAAACATCCATTTGCACCAGTCTCTCAGAAGTAAAGGTTTGCCGTTTTATAGCCTTTTATGATCGTAAACTGAATACCTTTTGGGTTTTTGAGACTTAAAACGAGCAGTTCAAAGACATCATACTTTTTGTGGACATGCTGATTAAAACTATATTTGTATTTAATCAAAGTACCAAAAGAAAGTTGGTTACTTCCTCATTAGGAGCTGCAGAGTCTCACAAACACCTGGAAGTTTCCCAGTGAAACGTCTGCAGCCACTGAGCAGCTCCACTGGTGCACTGGTGCCGATTCAGCGCTGCGTTCAAGGGCATCTCGACAGCGCTGATGGATGGACGAGTGCCTCTTGTTCAATTCATCCATTCAGATCCCTGTCGTCATCTTTGAGATTCAAACTGGTGAACTCATCTTGCATTTCAAGGCACATCTTTTATTTACTGTAGTCAGAGAGTTAGCACAACTAGTCGGCGGCATGATTCAGTAAGAACTGAAGCTTGTTGGCTCAAACTGCTGGCGGATAGATACTGTTCTTCAGTTTTTGGAGAAGCCAAGGAAGGTGAAATACAAGTAAGCTGATATACCGGTCCTCAGTAGAGAAGGATTTCAATGTCTTTTAGCTGCCAAATTGCTTTTTGGCAACACATAACAAATGGGTGGTGCATGAAACACCTGAGGTTGGTTCAGGTTTACACAGTGATTCAAAGGGCTGATATTCCAGAAGATGCATTTTATAATATCAGTGCACCAGCAAAGCCCCCCCCCTGCTGTTTGTCACTGAGCAGCTCCACTGTGGCAACCGCTGATATTAACAGCTGAGGGCACTCATGTTTGAGATGAAACAATTTGCAACTAATCGATAGCGTTGATCGATTAGCAATAGCTGTTTCTAGCTTCACAAATGGGCAGTATTTTTGTATGGTGTAAAACAAGAGATCTTCACATCCCTTGGGCACTGGGAAACTGTTTTAATATAAAATGTATTATTTTTGCGTTTGTTTGATCTATTAAGCATATTTGTAAAAGATGTATTTTCTTTGCTCTTGGTTAACATATTACAGTCAACTGACCTCACAGATTGAAAAGGTCAAATGTTTTCCTCAAAAGAAATAAACGCTTTTACTTCCACTGCACAGCTTCTGCAGAAATGTCAACACAATCAGCATAATAGAAACAACCAATAAATTAGATATGCACAGTGGCCAGTCTTTCTTATGAATGCTACCTTGTTGGTCTTGCTGAACTCACAACAAAATGGAAGACAGCTCTTCTGTAGTACTCATGTATGTCAAACTTGATCCAAAACAAAAACTCGTGAGAATGCAAACCAGAGATGTGGAACAGCAGGTGGTATCATCCTGAATCTCAAACAGCCCAGAGCCACAGCGTCTGCTCCGCTGCACAGTTTATAACTCGCATATTGTCAGGGAAGCGATGATGCTGATATGACTTTAAAAAACACACACACTATCTCCAGACTGGACTGAGAGTCTCAACCATCAACACAAACAGAGCCGCGCGCCAGCAGCTGTATGACGCACACCTGTAACATAAAGACTACTGCTAATTTAATATTAATAACAGAAGTGAAATCCAGCTAATAAAGCTGGTTTTGGCCCAAAAAGAGTGGGCTCAAGTGTTAGCAGCGGACCGGTGGTGGGGTGCAGCTTACTGGGGCTACGGATATGCCAAACACTATCACAATGAGGGTAAAATATACGCCACAGATAAGACGCGCACAGATGGCGCGCAATTGCAAGGCAGAATAGAGGTGAATGTGTTTTATCTGGGGGAACAGACATGTCAGAGGCAACTTATCGGGGAAATCGTGGTCGCCCCTCCGACTATCCGCGGAGCAGAGTCCGCCACAGAGACACCTGAGTGCGGGTACGCAGTCGCGATGTCATTGACGCAAGTGGCTACATTAAGAAAAAAAAGAAACAGCACTCACCTCTTTAGTGTTAACGATGCCTTTGACATATTTCCCGAGGACTGAATCCACGAAGAAGCCGCTGCACAGCAGAGCCATGCACAGGAGTCTCTCCCCGACCCTCACCTCCATGTTTCTCCCGGCTGCCGCTCCTCTGCTCTCTCTGGAGCCTGTCTCTGAGCGGAGGCGCGCACCAGAACGGGATCGCGCACAGCAGAGAAACCGGGCGCGTCCACGTTGGTCTTTTCGATGCATGTGGCCCCCCTGGATGTGAGTGTGGGGGGGTTCAGGATACGCGCTCCCGGTTCCGCTCGTGCTTCTCCTGAATGCGACACGGCCACACATTAAAAATGCTTTGGCTGATTGCAATCATGTTTTGATCAGAGGTCACGCACCTCTAATGGAGAGGAGCTGAGACGCATGATGCCTGACCTCCGGGAGGAAATCACATCACACCAGCTGGATACAGATCACCGGGTCTAATGGGCTGTATTGCTGCTGAATTTATATCAGAAATCTTCTTTTTTTTGTTAAGTGATTTGATGATTCTGTAATGAAGTTAAAGTTGGAGTCTATAATGTCCTATATATAACTCCTGCATTTAACAGAAATATCAGCTAAATGTAGGCTTGATTGGCTTTCAAAAGTAATGCAAATTGTCCAACTGTTCACAAGTATTTTATAACAGTTTATTTTTGTTTTTACTGATATTGTTGAGTAATTGAATACATAGCAAAAGCATATTTTATAAACGTATTCTCAACGAAGAAATACAAATTATCATAGAAATCTTACAAGATGTATTTTTTGTTAAATTGGATCTGACACTTTATACAATTCACAAAGGTCAACCTTATAAATGACCTTTCCCAAAGGCCTGACTTAATCAAGATTTGGGTAAAAAAAGCATTTGCTATTTACAAATTCCATACATCAAATATGCTTTGGGATAAAAACTCAAAGAGGCCAGCTAGATTAGATTATAATTTCCATATCTTATTCTCAGCGACTTTAAGTTAACCTTTAGCTTGATCAATGCAAAGAGACATTTTGATTCACGAACACAACTGCAGGTTCATGGGAGAATATATTTATTTAGATACAAATGAACAAAGGAAGAAACCAGCCGACTCGTGGCGTATCAGACACAACATTGAAGAATGCAACCTGCAAATCAATCATCAATCATTCGATCAACACATCTGAAAGTAGAGATATCTACATGAATCATAACGTTTGATACACATTATTTTGGTTTTTTTATTCACAGGTTTGCACTTGTGGTGTTTTGAATTAAATTAAATAAAGTATAAACCAAGTAAACTTAAAACTGCTTTGTTTCCAGTCTATGGCTTGTTTTCTGAAAAAAAAAGAGATCATAATTTCCTACACCAGTATTACATTTTGCGGCGCAGTGTGCATAAGGAGTGCAGACAGAGTACGGCACCGACTGCATTTTCATCAACAGCAAACACTAAATGGCAAGCAGCACATCCGGAGGAGACTCCGGCTGCAGTCTTTGGTTCCGTTTTGAAGCGCTAGAGATATATTTAAGATAAGTAACTTAGTGATCAAATTCATATTTTTCATTTGGAAACATTTGAGAACTGGTTGAGGTCAGTCGCATCAGAGCGTTGATGCATTTATGAAAGAATGAGGTTTCCAGGAAGTTTGGTATACATTTGGTATAAAGCGCCAACTATGAAATCCAACCTTGAGGAGATTCAATAGATTGCATCACAGCCAGGGGCGCCGCCAGGGATTTTGGGCCCCATGAAAATATATGACATTGGTTACTTAAACATTTTTCTAGATGTTCTAGAATAGTTTGGGCCCCTGTCAGTCACAGGCCCCTGTCAGTCACGGGCCCCTGTCAGTCACGGGCCCCTGTCAGTCACGGGCCCCTGTCAGTCACGGGCCCCTGTCAGTCACGGGCCCCTGTCAGTCACGGGCCCCTGTCAGTCACGGGCCCCTGTCAGTCACGGGCCCCTGTCAGTCACGGGCCCCTGTCAGTCACGGGCCCCTGTCAGTCACGGGCCCCTGTCAGTCACGGGCCCCTGTCAGTCACGGGCCCTTAGAATCATCCTAACGCTTCACCCCCTGATCACAGCATTTCTGACAGAGTGTGTGAACGATGATGAGATGCTGGTGTGTTAACTGCATAGCTTGTTAATGTTGTAAGCAGCGAGCTCACGTTTGTAGCAGCGTTGTACTTTTTCAAATAAATCAGCCAGGGGCAAGAAAATCTCACATGAGCTTCAAAAAACTCAAAGTGAAACTGGAGGTACGTTGTTCAACCTGATTATCAAACAAATAAAAGACAAAAAGCAACTGACTGTTTTTACAAGGACAATTTGTGATTACAAAGTATATGGACCATCAACAATTAGACGCTATAAGGCGACAACACTCTGAAAGAATGACTTCTGCTTGAAGCTGCAGGAAGCTAAATGAGCATCGGCAGAACCACAGGATGCCAGGAATGGGAAAACGTAAAAAAAAGGTAACACTGCAAACGTTTTCATCCAAAACAGCGTGGTTGATGCAGCACCTGCAGTCAGGGCAGCCGGATGCACGAGTGGTCATTAAGGGTAAGAGGCATCAGGAGGTCTATGAACAGCAAGTGGATTTGAAAAAAGTGCTCTAGTCGCCCACTTTATACAACAAAGTGCTAATGGCCGATCAATCCTGCTAGGCTTCATAGGTGGTGGAGTTTTCAGGCCTGATGAAGAAGTCATGTTGATGTACAGAACATCACCGACACAACACATGGTCCAATAGTGTCTTGAGGTTGTTTTAAGATGATTCATGATTAATACTTTAGTCTTTAGTCCATTAGTAAAGTGCCATTCGTGTCTCGATGTGAACACAGGACACAGAGGACGAGCTCATGTTTCTCACACACACCAGAGACTAGTGTGATCATGTGTACATGTAGACTCAACCTGAGCCACACACACAGGCACCAAGAAAGACATAAAACAAGACGGTGACATGTAGCCTAAACACACACTTGCACAGAACTGTCAAATTGTAGAAAAAGCTGCTAATAAAGCAACGTCAGCTGGAGTCTCAGAGTGAACAAGTGCATCACTGTCTTCCTCTTCGCCACCCTGGTTCTTTCCATCAATCTGACTACAAATACTGCGGTAAGTACTGGGAGTTGACAGATCTAAGCATGGTCTAATCCTGTAGCATGACTTTTCTGCTGAAAATCCTGCTCTTCCTCTACGGGGGGGGGGGGGGGGGGGGTCTGCAGTCGGAGCTTCAGCTAAATCCTATTCATCACACAGCATCCTTCTACACAGACCTGGCCCTGCTGCGAGAGAAGGACGCAGCCAGCATTGTTGGCATCTATATTTAGTTGGTCCTTCCGAAGGACTGACCCTCAGAAGGACATTTTCGTGTGCTTCAAAGTGCTGCGGTGGCAAAAAGCTCAGAGGAGTACCCTCAGCTTAATGAAATCAAAGTTAACCCCAAATGTAATTGTGGGGAGGAAAAGCACCCGGTCCAGCAGCCGCTCTCAGTGGGCCAAATACAAGTTTAGTGGCTTTTACACAGCACTCCTGCAATCGGTTTTTCTTCTTCTTTAGTTTTTCCTGAAAGCCTTCGAATTATAGAAACCAATTTTCAGGCAGGAAATCCCCCGATTCAAGAGAAGCGGTACTTTGACACACTGCATACTGCGCAGAGAAGTAGTGAGCGAAAAACGCCTGGTGAGTAACAGGGACAATCTGAGAGGAAATCAGTGCAGTGGAGTTTAAAATGTGTGTTGATAGCTGAGGGCTTTTTGATGCCCCTTTCTCTCCTACTCTACTTCTGAAGAACTCTTTCCAGTCTCAAAAAGGAAAACAACTTTTGGGTCTCTTAGACATATCAGAGCCATGATTGTTCTTAACAGACTTGGAATGGGACCCAAATATTTAAGCATGGACTTCAGGAAAGAATCAGTGCATCTACACAAATGTGACCGTAGCAATGAATAGAGATGCAGCCCTATCAACACTACACAAAGCACCAGGCAGCATCTAGATAGCCCACTGTTCTATAATGACTATTATCCTATTAATATGCATTAGAGGAGGATACACGTATAATTGGAAAGGCCAGGGACGTCTGAGCAGCTGTGCCGAAGGAGGAGGGGGTAAGCACATTCAAACAGCATAAGTGTACATTAAAATAACAATATAGTTTATAAACCAACAAAAAAAACCTGTAATGATTCAATGATTAAAATACAGCAATACAAAAATATAAATAACAAAAGTAACACTACTGCATAGGGGTAGTAATATATGATTACAAATTGCAACAGAATCTCAAGAAAGCAAGTAAATCAACGTATCCAGGTCAGCCTTTCAGCGTTGTGATTGTGTTTGGTAGAGAGTCAGAGAAACTATCCACGAAGGGAGCTGTATTGACTGCCGAACAGGCAGAACACAATGTGGAGTTATTAAGTGTGATTTAGAGTGGCTACCTAAAGGACAAGTGGCCATTTTGATTGGGACGACTCTACACAGAAGCATATAGTGTGCCTGCGACTGTTTGATTAGTGCCTTAGATGACTGCCTTGTCTTGGATGAATCGCCCATTCAGGGCCCGTCTTTAGTATCAGCGCTGCTTTATGTCCTGGCCGTGCCTGCCGACGGCTCTCTGCTAAGTGTGTGCGCTGCATGTGTGGGTGCGTGCTGGTCTTTGATCTAAGTAGCTGGTAAATTACCATTTAATTTGAAAACATGACTGTCTTTGGTGGGTGTTTTCATTCCGTCTGCCAGCTTTGCTTTGTGCATAATGCGGCACAGACAAGTGGCAAGAATTGCAAAGCAGAGGAAGTCTTGTTTTAGCGTTCCCCCTCTTTTTTTGTCTTTAAGAAACTGGGTAATCACATAAATTGCTTTTTTAGGACACTCTCTTTTAGGCATCGCACTGCCTACATTTGTCTGACTTTCATTTACTCTCCCCGTGTCTTCACTCCCCTGCAGTCCTTAATGTAACCTCACTTAAGGCTCGATAACAACAGCGTCAGTGTTGTTCTGGGCTGCCACAGCAACTAAGCCTTCCCCATTGGCAATTTTAGCCCCGACAGCAAGCTCCCCTTCCTCGATGGGGTCGGAAAAGATAGACCCGGCCTCCCCAGAAGAGGTGGACACACCCCTATCGGTGCGCTCCAGCTTGCGGTGCTTGCGTGGCTCGGGAGGCGTGTCCTTCTGGGTCAAGACGTAGCGAATCCTCTCCGCGCAGATGTTAGCCGCCTCCTTGGTCTCCCTGCAGAGCTGGGACAGGCTGAGGAAGCCGTGGGGGAGGTCGTCCACCACGCACAGAGTGACGGGCTGATCTATGTTCCTCAAACGCTTGGCGAACATCACAGAGTCATCCAGCATGGGGTCTAACGCACAGGCCTGAGAGGAGAGAGGGGAGAGGGGAGAGGGGGACGAGGGGAGAGGGGAGAGGGGAGAGGGGAGAGGGAGAGAGGGCGAGGGAGAGGGGAGAGGGGGGAGAGGGAGAGAGGGAGAGGGGAGTAGGGGAGAGGTGAGAGGGGAGAGGTGAGAGGGGAGAGGGGAGAGGGGGAGAGAGAGAGAGCAGGGGTGAAAAGCAAGTTAGGATATGTTAGGAATCTTAATTAAGTGATGAAGAAAAGGAAGCAAGAATCCCGGTTTCCTTTGTGCATACTTTCTTTACATTCCCGCGGACTCACTCATTTTCAAATCAGCACCATTTTCTTCATTTTTCATTAACATCCTTCAAATGTGAGATCAGGCTTTAAACTTCCCATCTCTTTCTCACTGTGATATAACAATGTAAGTGAGCGGTCCTCTCTGATCTCCATCTCTTCACTTTCTAAGGCTTTGGTGCTTTTACCTCTGCAACCTCCCATCTGCTTTCCTCTTGTCTTCACTGTCACAAACCAACACTCACAATCCTGGTCTGCTCCTGCATGGAACAATATCAAATCTACTTGTACAAAACGTAGACAGTTGCAAAGACTCAAATGTTCTTCAAGGCAAGCTTACACTACACTCAATTCGAGTAAGCGAACTTAGATTGTTGTGTATTTAACTGTATTAATGCTCTCCTGGCCATTTCTTTGCATCAGAATAAAGTAAAGCTTCATTTTCCAGTGGTGAGACTTCCAGACTCACCACTATGTGCACAGGGGGCAGGCCTTTCAGCATGCTGTCAGGAGCCAGCAGAGGAGAGCAGAAGGGATCTTTAACCACAGGCGAAGTGTCCACCGTCATGGTGGCTAGCTGCTCTGAGCGCAGGGGCTCAAAGCCCAGGGGAAACTCCCTGCGGTGCTCCAGCTCTGACCCCTCCTTTCCAGCAGGGGGAGGTATGGCCACTGAAAACAGCTCCCTGGACATGGAGGGATCTGCTTCCTTGGATAAGAAGAAATGCACATCTTCTGGCTGCAGAAAAGGGGAGAGTGAAAAGTTGTGGATAAACTGCACTGAAGGGTAAAGTAATGTCAAGGACAATAATAAGGCGTAACATATTAAATAGGCAAACTTCATTACACACAGAGGACTTTGTCCTTGTGGAAATCATCTGAAAACCTTGGCTCGGTGCCTGAGAGTCTTGGCTGAACAATCCCCATTTGAAGGAGGAAAAGCATATTTAAAATCTTGCGTCACCCCTGCAATACGATTCTTCCCAAGTAAGGCACTAATCCAGCCTGCCTGTGTGAAAAAACATGAGAGGATAATCTGCAATACCTGGCTGGTACCCGCACACCCAATAAAAGCTTTGATACTCAGTCAGCTTTTCACAGCCAAATCTGCCAATGAGGCATGGGTGACTTCATCTAGGCTGAGATCATCAAGATGAAAAACAAACGTGACTGCAGGGTATATAACGCAGTATGATAACGGGCCAAAGTATCTCCATGCTGATCACATGTTCATAGTCTTAAATCCATCTAATGAGGGGAGGGATAGCCTGATCATAGGTGCTATAATTATCATCAAACAGTCCCCAGTAAGAGCCAAGTGTTCTTTAAAAGCCCTTACACATGTAATGCTGTTAACTTCTTCAGGATAAGAGTATCCACTGAGAGCGAGCTAATCTCAATGTAAATATGTTGAAGCGTGACGTACAGTGCTCTCAGGGAGCAGCGCTGCACTGTGAGAAGTGAAGTCGTTGTGGGATCCCAACTCCTGGCAAGTCTGGCTCTTCACAGATAATTTCCTGGAGGGGAAGTCGGAGGTCTGTGAGGCGACAGGGGGGTCAGCGTGAGGAGAGGAGAAGGACGCCTCTGAAATACTCTTCCTCACTGTGTCTGAGAAACAAGACGGAGAGAGGGGAACATGGAGTTAGTCAAAATTGAAATGTTCCAGACAAACATAAAACTTAATTAAAAAGATCCATTAACACAGAAAGTAATTTTGACGGTGTGTAAAGGACAGAGGTGGGGTCACCTGCAGCTGGAGGACCGGAAAGAAAGGACACAAAAAGAAACACAATCACTTTGACTCTACTTATCATATCTGGTTGACAGCCAACCGTTAAAAGCCTCAAAATGCAAATTGAAGTGTATCAGGAAGGAGAGAGGCGAAGTGGGTGGAGGGAAATCAAGCAGTGCTGTCATGGTGATATCATCTGGCCGCCCCGAGCCGTCAAAACATAGCTGTAGTCATGGCGGCTATCTCCACAAAGCGCTACCGATCTCCCATCTCTTCCATAATGAAGCATCTCAGCACCATGATGGCCTTTTAATAATGTACTCCCACCAATGACATTCTCATTAGGGGGGGGGGGGGGGGGGGGGTGTCACCTGGCTAAGGGGACACCAGGGAAATTACGATTCACCATCAGATTTACGGAGGCTACAATTAACAATTACTGTCAAAGCCCTGCTGCTCCGAAGACGTGAACTGATAGGAATGGGTTACGGTGTGGTTACGCAACAAGGTGGGACAAAGTGATAAGTGGACAGTTGAAAGCTGAATAAAGGGGATCCATGTCATTAACCCTCATCCATATGGACTGTAAATGAACTTGATATTGTTACACACATAATTGGCTTAAATGATGACGCTGAAAATATTGGCGGGAAACACACACACACTGATGTGGCAGTTAATGTAATGAAAGACCCGGGCAGATTGCATCTATGGCAGAGCTTTTCAAACAGTGGGGCTCCAAACATTTTAGCGAAGGCATGGTATATGGAGGTACACAATATTCAGGGCTGCACATAACTGGTGCGCAGGTGCGCATGCGCACCTCCGCCAAAAAAAGAGCACCGGGTCATTTGAAACAAAGCGCATTTGCGTACCAACATTGAGAGAGGGAGAGAGGGAAGGGAGAAGAGAAAAGAGAAAATAGAGGAGAGAGAAAGATATTTGCGAGTTGCATATGAATCATGATATGAACTCAGGGTCGGCCCGTAGCACTGGCTAGATGTTCGCCGAGGGCGCCAGATCTGTGGAGGCGCTGCGCTGGCAGTTCTGGGAGGGAAGAAAACATTTTGACCGTTGGGGCTTATCCTAATTTTCGGCCTTGATGTAACAACATTCATAATTAAGTAAATGTAACACCCTTTTCACCCCGGTTACACCTTTCATTTGCCCTGTACGATGGGCGCTGTAAGTGATGAAAATGGGGGATGTTGGCTTATCTGGCGCCCGCAGCTCACAGACAAAATGCGAGGGAGAGAGGGAGGGTGCACCGGTACCAGCGCTGTTGTTATTAGAATCTGGTGCCGTGCTAGCTGCTCTAACGGATATAAGAAGAAGATGTTTCTACAATAATGTGGAGGGAGAGTCCTCTCCAGTCAGACTGAGAGGCTGATACTACAGCTCAGTGAGGTAAAGCACTCTTAGTCTAAGTTCAAACGGTTTGGTCACAATTTATGTAAACACATATTTTCAAGGCACTCCTTTATAATTATTGGGATGAACAGGTTTTAAATCATTCTAATGTATACTATAGGACAGTAACCTAAAATATCCTTTAAAACTGGAGATAAAAAAAAATGCATAAATAAATAAATGTTAAGGTAAAATAAGATATGAATGAACAACACAAATAAAATAAGTTACAGTCATTTGTTATTGGCTATGGTAGGTTATTGGTTATGTTCACATACTTATTTGACTACATCCACTTGTCTAAGATGACAACAGAGGCTTTCGACCCAAACCCAGAGTTGACTTGTGGATGCAAGCATCTAATCACAGACTCAACCAGAGAGAAAGTAGTTGGCCTACATCATCAGCTACCATGTCTGACAGAGAGGAAGACAGTGAGGAGAACAGTCAGGAGGGTAGTGATGACAGCTTGTAGGATTACTGCTCGTGCTAATGTTGTCTTGTGTTCACCTCTGCATGTGTGTTCTGTGTTCACCTCTGCATTTGTGTTCTGTGTTCACCTCTGCATGTGTGTTAGTGTTCACCTCTGCATGTGTGTTCAGTGCCGTGTGTCTGGCAAATAAAGTCAAGACCCCCTAAAAAGTTACGGTTTATTTCATTTTAAGGATGAGCACCAAGCAACATCTCCAGGTGCTCCTTTGAGAACCAGGGCAAAAAAGTGATGTGCACCCCTGACAATATTACATCAGTTATCAAAACAAAATCACGTAGAATAGCCTAAACGTGTGCGATTTGGTTAAAGAAATACAGTAGATTTAGATAAATGTACCGTTTTCTTTCCAGAGACAGAAAAGGAGCCCTATTCTGCTTTTTGGGGTGTTCTCTTTCCTGTATTGTGCTATAGGTTTGTTTGTTTGCACGTAAATGGTCTAAAAATAAGGCTAAAATCCTAAAGTTCCCTCCAGAGAGAGTTTCTCTCCCACACTGAAAATGACCTTAATAGCGCTCCATTTATTTGGTGTCTGATGTTATGTCAAATAACAACATTTGGCTCAATTGTGAGTCTCTATGGAATCAAATAATATAATCATGATCCCATTGACATTAAACAAATTGCCAAACTAAGCAAGCCAACTAAAGGGGCATCACGGGGGCGCCTTTTCTCAAGCTTGTCTGAGGAGAGGCTCAGAATCCTCCTGGTGTCCAACAGAATAAACGCAGTATCTGGCAAGTAAAACCTTATTTAAGCCACCCACATTTCTTCTAATGTTCCCATGCCTGCACAAACACACACACACACAGTCACACACAGACGCACACAGTCACACACAGACACACACAGTCACACACAGACGCAAACAGTGAAACACAGACACACAGAACCACACAGTCACACACAGTGAAACACAGACACACACAGTCACACACAAACACACAGACACACACAGTCACACACAGACGCACACAGTGAAACACAGACACACAGTCACACACACAGTCACACACAGTCACACACAGTCACACACAGTGAAACACAGTCGGGGGTATACCGGCAGCTCTCGGTGGCGCCTCCTGTGCAGCCGAGCTGGGGGCGGCGGCGGCGGCTCGGTTGGAATCCAGAAGAGAGTGGATCCAGTTGGAGGCTCCCTGTCGGAGGTCTCTGAGCATCACAGCCGTATCTCTCCTCACCAAACTCAGCTGGCTCGCCTTCTCCACCTGCACCTCCGTCTGGGGCTGGTTGCCTGGAGGAAGAGGAGACATAGAGGAAGACTCAGCAGGGGAAAGATGGATGCTAAACAGAGAGAACAGCGTTTCTGTTATTCTTGAATAAGCACAAATGAGAAACAGATAAGCCAAAATAGGAAAGATAAAGAAAACCACAGAAAATACAGCCATTTGTGTCAAAGAGAGCAATACATAGTGATGACCGAACGAGTGAATAGAAAGTGATTAGTGTTAGAGTTCATTATTGAGAGCCACACAGGATCAACAGTATCTCTGTCAGAATGATTTGGCATAGTTGGCCATTTACTAGTTCTCCTTAGCCCTCCTTTTCTTGTGAGACTACAATGTATCAAATGACTTGTAAGAGTTTCTCCTGCTTTTTACATTGCATTAATGACAAGGCGTGAAAAACAATCTATATGCTAATAAGTTGAGTTGTGGCTAGGGAGGGTGTTTCAGACATGATACAGCACGGTTAGAAAAAAATCCATAAAGATTTATGATTCAAATATGTGAACACATTGTGTGCAGAAAAAGGAATTGAGCAAGTGAACAGGGAGATCCGAGATGAGAACAGAACTTGTTTTATGTTTAATAAGATAATTATAACTGTTCTAAAACTTAAAGACATGCAGGCAGGCTGAATTGACACAAAATAGATTGAAGTTTTCTTATCAATTAGTTGTTTCAGTTGTTTGCAAACTTTGCATATCATAAAAAAACATCGCTTTGAGTTTTTTTTTTAATACATTATATTAGTTAATGCAATTGAAAAGAATGGCTTAACTGATGAAAATGGCAAAAAAATAATATATATAAATATACATCAACTTAATAACCTTTTCATTTATGTTACACAGATAGTTTGTCAGCATTATAATTTTTAAAAGGGCCCTATAATGATTACTTAAGGGTTCATATTTGTATTTTGAGCCTCGACAGTGACATGTTTCCAAGTTCTAATGTTCTAAAAAGGTCTTTATTTTTCTCACAGCCTGTGCTGCAGCACCTCTTTTCACCCTCTGCTCTGATTGGTTAGCTGGCCGGCTCTGTTGTGATTGGTCAGCCCGCTTTGAGATGTCCGGCCCCTTATAATACCACGCACTATCACGTTGGAGCTAGCCAATAGAAGCACGAATGTTACATAGTGACGTCACTATGTGGTAGGGAATTTCTGGGTTTTATCCTTTGCCGACCATTTAGATGCACAACAACCTATATAATACCAGTGTTTCCCCTATATACAAATAGCGGCGGTGCTAGGGGCCGCCAGCCAGGTACCCCAAACAAATATTTTTTTACCTAAAATCTACCAGATAAAAGAACACACCTTATTTAGTTTGTTTTCTAAATCACAAACACACTTGCACTCCTACCTGCGTAGGCGCTCAGACACCTGGAGAGCACGCTGAGCGGCAGCAGGGGATCCATAAGTGTGAGCAGACGGGAGGGCGAGGCGTAGGCTGTCAGCAGCGTGGCCGGGTACACGGCCACCAGGCCATCTGGCATCCGCACGCCAAAGGCAGCCGCACGCATCGTCGTCGTCACACACAAGTTGCCTCCCGCACTGTCACCAGCCAGACACACTTTCTCCCCGGTCCAGCCTGGAGAGATGAAACAGGGCGGTGAAGATAAAGGTGAGGACAAAGGAAGAACATAAATCCATGGGGAAATAGAGAAATGGCACACAAAATAAAAGGAGACGAGAAAAATATGTATTTTTCTGCAAATTCACTGTGGAGCAAGAAAAGCAGTGCGACCCATAAAGTAGCAGAATCTCTTTTCTCTACCATGAGATGGCTGAATGTGGGGCTGCTTGGAGCTGGGTTTGTCTTGCTATCCGCCTCATGGCAGTGATAATGTCTTATTGTACTAAAACACAAACACAGCACTGCGATCACTGTTAATTTGACACAGCGTGCTTCAGCGGGCGGATGTACCCCAAAACGACCAGATGTCTTTTGGTGTCAGCCTGAATACTTGGCGTCACAATTTGTGTTATATTACAGAACAACGGGTACAGTGCAAAACATGGCGCTGCAGCACGATTACTTTCAAAGTGATGAATGATTCCTCTTGAAAGCTACAGGGAATTGGTAATTGCACTCAGAGAAGCAGTCCACTGACTCTGAAAGGAGTGAGCTTTGTCTGCTCATTAAGTCTAATAAACTAACTTCTACCTGCCTAATGCATTTAGCATTTCAACTGCACATGGCTTCCCATTGCATTAAGAAGTAGTCCGAAAAAGTACATGGGAGTAAAAAAGAAAGGCCAGGAGTCTGATATTAACGCTAATGTGTGATGACCCTAGATAACAAACTGTCCTTCACTGCAAACATAGCTGCTACAACCTGCTGCTGCAGATACACTCTTTACAGCATCAGGAGGATACGTCCCCAGCTGACCCAGAAAGCCACGCAGGTTCTGGTCCAGGCTCTCGTCATCTCACGCCTAGACTACTGCAACTCCCTCCTGGCTGGTCTACCTGCATGTGCCATCCAACCTCTGCAGCTCACCCAGAATGCAGCGGCTCGTCTGGTCTTCAACCTTCCTAAATGTTCCCACACCACGCCGCTCCTCCGCTCCCTTCACTGGCTTCCGGTAACTGCTAGAATCCACTTCAAGACACTGGTACTTGCGTACCATGCTGCGAATGGATCTGGCCCTTCCTACATCCAGGATATGGTTAAACTGTAAACCCCAGCACGTGCACTCTGCTTTGCATCAGCCAAACGACTCGCTGCACCCGCACTGCGAGGGGGACCCAAGTTCCCATGAGCAAAAACACGTGGGTTTGCTATCCTAGCTCCAAAATGGTGGAATGAGCTCCCCATTGACATCAGGACAGCAGAAAGCTTACACACCTTCCGGGGGAGACTGAAAACTCATCTCTTTCGACCCCACTTCGAGCAATACAATGAAAAAACTAAAAACTAAATAAAAGCTCTCATATACTAACTAAGCACTCGTATACTAACCAAGCACTCGTATACTAACCAAGCACTCATATACTAACAAAGCACTCATATACTAACAAAGCACTCATATACTAACCAAGCACTCATATACTAACCAAGCACTCATATACTAACCAAGCACTCATATACTAACCCACGCACCTCATATACTAACCACGCACTCATATCTAACCAAGCACTCATATACTAACCAAGCACTCATATACTACAAGCACTCATATACTAACCAAGCACTCATATACTAACCAAGCACTCATATACTAACCAAGCACTCATATACTAACCAAGCACTCATATACTAACCAAGCACTCATATACTAACCAAGCACTCATATACTAACCAAGCACTCATATACTAACCAAGCACTCATATACTAACCAAGCACTCATATACTAACCAAGCACTCATATACTAACCAAGCACTCATATACTAACCAAGCACTCATATACTAACCAAGCACTCATATACTAACCAAGCACTCATATACTAACCAAGCACTAATATACTAACCAAGCACTCATATACTAACCAAGCACTCATATACTAACCAAGCACTCATATACTAACCAAGCACTCATATACTAACCAAGCACTCATATACTAACCAAGCACTCATATACTAACCAAGCACTCATATACTAACAAAGCACTCATATACTAACAAAGCACTCATATACTAACAAAGCACTCATATACTAACAAAGCACTCATATACTAACAAAGCACTCATATACTAACAAAGCACTCATATACTAACCGAGCACTCATATACTAACCAAGCACTCATATACTAACAAAGCACTCATATACTAACCGAGCACTCATATACTAACCAAGCACTCATATACTAACCAAGCACTAATATACTAACTAAGCACTCATATACTAACAAATAACTGGCTTATCTAAAGCCAGTTGAGTAGCACTTGAAATGTTTTGGCTCTATGAAACCTGATGTACTTATATGATTCTGTTTTCTTCAAGTTTGTATCTTCCTGGTCGAATGCACTTATTGTAAGTCGCTTTGGATAAAAGCGTCAGCTAAATGCAATGTAATGTGTGTGTACCTAGTAGGTGGTGGTTTTTCAGAGCCCAGCAGTAGGCGTAGAAACACTCCTCCAGGGCCCTTGGGAAGGGGGCCTCGGGGGCCAGAGAGTAGTCGATGGACAAAATGGGGACACCGAGATCCTGGGACCAGCTCTTCAGATAAGGCTGCAGGACACAGAAGACATAAGTTAGAGGGGTGGCATTATAAATAGAAAAACACTCGGTTTCAAAGCTGATATATAATATGTTGTTTGTGAGAAACAAGAGCAGTGGTACAAAACACAGAGGAGATGAGACAGAGAGGTATAAATGTAATGGGAGAGAGAAACTTTAGGAAGGATAAAAAGCTATGAAAATTGCCCTGTGATGTCATCGGTCTGCTTTGTGGCTTACTGTCTAGACAATGAAAGAATGAAAGAATGAGCACTGCCCTCACCGTTACCTTCATTTGGTTTCTTCAGTTGGTTATACCAACATGTCCTAGTTTATTGGGTATGAAGGAACAAGACAAAGACAAGGTGATGGTGTGGATTTACAGGGAGTGTCTACCAAAACAAACTCACTGTCAGAATACTGAGTGTTCCTTTCTTCCCGTTGCTACACTTTGATTACGTGTTTACTATTCTTATGCCAACCTAAGGCAAGTGCTTTACTCCACAGCTGCAAAGCAATGACCTTGAAATGCAAGCAGGGCAGCCAAACTTGTCACGCCAAAACATTCCTTCTACAAAGCATCCATCCTTTCCTCCTTCATCTTTATCTTCTCCCAACACCTTTTCTGACTAGCTGTGACAGGTCTGACGCTGAAAGTGACAGCTCTCCGTTCACAATGCCAGGAAAAGCACAGTGAGTGTATATTTTGAATGTTGCCTCACCCACCAGTGACTCACCCTGAAAAGTAGTCGCTCCAGCATCAAGCCGCACTTGTCATAAGAAAGCTCAGAGTGAGGTCGCTGACAAGGGAATACACGCTCTGTTCGGGTCAGTGTGGGTGTGTGTGAGAATCAGAAAAGGTTCTCCAAAGGTGTGTATGTGTGGAAACAAGTCAGTACATGCCAGAGTACTTGGGCAGGTGCAGCAGTCAGACAGTTCATCATCTGCCTGCATAAAAGGAAACCGCAACAAATGTCCCACAAGGAAGAGAAGATGTGTGTGTGTGTGTGTGTGTGTTTTAATGAGCTGGGACCAAGGCTGGAAAACTCTTCTCATACACACACATCCTATTCACAAAGACGAAAAACACTCTTACACCAATTTAGAAGGAGCCAGATCTGTTCTCAAAACGGGAATAATGGGAGCTGCAGTCCAACTCTTTCCAAGACATGCAGAGGAGTTAATCTGCAGGCTAATACCTCTACAGGGAGTGTGTGTGTGCACACCCATTCCTGTGATGTCAGCATAATTGGGCTCTGAGAGCACCAAAGGCTCCAGCCACTGAAGTCCAACTCTCCATCTCGCCCAGCCGGCAGGAGAGAAAGAAGTCGAGGAAGGATACAGGAGAGGATAAATGAGCCGAGCAAGGCCCCGCCCTCAGAGAAACTTTTCATTTTTCTATTCTTTCTTCCTTGGCCTTGCCTCAGGGATTAAGAGAGCAGAAAGCACACGGTAATATTAGGAAAGTTCAAATTGCTTAAATAAGACAGGAAGGGCATGTTAGAAAAGGACACGAGGTGAACAAAAAGGATTTTGTGAGGTATTAGAAAGATTGAGAGGGAGGATGTAATAAAAAGGCGAGCCCTGAAGAAAAAGACAGAATGATAGTCTGACAAGTCTTCCATTAGTGCCCCGGGTAATCTTTCTCTATGGGGTCGTACAGTTCTCCGTTAATTCAACATGACAGCCCTGTTCACCCCCGTCTGTGATTGCTCCCTCTCTTCTCTTCTTCGCAGCAGCAGCTGCAGACCAAGAATGCCCGTGTCCTTGGCGATTTCACAGAGTCCTTTCTTACAGAGGCTATAAGAAGCCTGACGCCACACACAGACACAGATGACCAGATCAGTGAAGGAGAGCTGGGTGCACAAACTGTATTTAAATCATCCTTCTCATCAAGATGAATCACGGAGGTTGAATAGTTCCTCTTGCTATGATTTCATATTTTGTTACTTATGTAAAGCTATGATAAAATAAATGTTTTGATTGCTGTTCGAGCATTGAAGAGATTTTTTAAGACAACTTATAAGTGTGTTTGTGTGATCTTTAAAGTAGATCTAGAGGGGATGATGTGTGTGTGCACCTTCTGTGTAAACCAAGCATGGAGGGAGGGCTTAGCATCTCCATTTATAAAACTATATTCCTGCGTTTTCAGCCATTATTTACAAAGGAATTAGCTTAACGGCTCATTAAATGTCACAATATTGACAGAGGAGGAGATTCAGCCTGCTAACTCCTCTGCCCCCCGCTGTCAACTAGCGCTCGTCTCAACACTTTAATTAGATGGGGTTCAATTTCAATTAGTTGGAGAAAACAGAGCGAGACAGTGAAGCGATGAAGGGATGAGAACGTGAACTGGAGGAGCACTGTGGAAATACCGGGTGTTTAAAATGATGGAGGTGAAGTGGTGTCAGCATCTGTATCTGTGAGTGCCAAATCACACATTTACCACTGTTTCCTGCATCACTGTTGTATTATACACATCATAATAAGTAAGATGCGAGTCATACTACAGCAAAATTGTATTCAGTTTTCCTTGAAAAATGAAACCAATCATATTGCCTTTTAGGTAAGAGGATAGATATACTGTCACCTACTTTCCATTACATTACATGTCACTTGTTAGATGCTTTTATCCAAAGCGACTTACATACTCAGTACTGTGGACAAACCCCACAGGAGCATTTTGGGGTGAAGTGTCTGAGGGACACAACGACATGCTGACTGCAGTGGGGTTTGAACCTGTTCTCCCCTGATCCCAACACCAAGGCTCTATCCACTGCGCCACACTTTCCCTTTTCTTTATTCTTGTCCTCTGGGTGTGAACTCTTAACTCTCTTATCCCGTTTTCAATCTTGATCCTGCCGCTCTAACACCTATCTTTCCCCTACACGGATCGATGAAGGTTTAGAGAGAGTTGCAGAGCAGCATCTCACCTCATGGGATTTGGAGGTCTGGGCCACAAATCCTCCTCCGTGGAAGTGGATCAGGATGCTGGAAGACGGGGGGAGGCGCTTGGTCTTCCCCAGCGACAGAGAGATGGCGCCCCCCTCAGAACGGGCGAGAGACAGCAGAGCCTCGCTGTCCTGGAGAGAGAGGTGAGGAAGGAATCAACAAAAGGACAGAAATAAATCACTAAAAAGAATAAAGAACTTCACATGACGGTGGCCTCTCTGATAACTGTCCACGTTATGTGTATATTGTATACTGGAAACTAAGCCTTTTTCATTGTTAATAAAAAGCATTGCTGGTGTGAGCAACAGGGCTCCTTTGAGAGGAGGACTAACTGCTGTGCTGCAGCAGCTTTCTGCCAGCCTCTCCTGTGCCTGCATGAACGCACACTAATTCCCATTCATTAACGGAAACAAGGAGGCAGAGGAAATGTGGCAGGGAGCGAGGGAGGGTTTCCACCGATGCACACTTGTAATTTGAAACTTTAAAAAAGGAAACTTTTTTGTTGTTGTGGCGTGATCAATGCTGGGAATAGAGAGGCAAAGTCCCGCCCACTTCCGCCCCATGGGACCTTATTTCGGAAAAATGATGTATTGAAGTCAATGGAGAGAGAAAGATTATCTTTGGATCCCGTTTGAATTGTGCCACAAATTACACATATGATGTTTGTCAATTTAAAAAATCATTTCCGTGTCAAAAAAGTCACAGTTTATCGTAAAACTGTTGAAATATAAGACTATGAAAAATACGCAACTAGAAAGACTACAAATCCCAGAGTCCCGGTCCCGCATGCTGGCTCTTAGGAACCGACTAACTCCCCTTGTGTGTGTGTACAGCTCTCAACGCGCCCAGACTCGTAGTGATTTTCACCTCTTTTAATACTTTCCGCCTCATTCTGAAAGAAAGAAGTGAAATGTTTCAACGTGACGGCCGTCTTGGTGTGTGGTGTGAGACGGGAGATGTAGTTCATTGAGCGGTTTCACACCAAAAAGTGTTTGTTTTTTTTACTTGCAAAATTATCTTTTAAATTGACAAACATCATATGTGTAATTCGTGGCACAATTCAAACGGGATAAAAAGATAATATTTCTCTCGCCATTGACTTCAATGCATACTTTTTCCGAAATTAGGTCCTATTGAGCCCCCCCCGGAAAGGGAGGGTGTGAAGCTGACAATTGAGCGGCCCAGACCAAGCAAGGAGGCAGCACGTCCCAAATATAACCCGGTGTGGGCATTTATTACAGCATGAACACAATACACACAGCCTCAATCCTGCTGCTGCTGTTCACGTGGGCACAGCCTGCAGCCACCAGGATCTCACACACACTACCAGCCTCAAAACAGACAGGGCAACAGACCCTAAATACACACACTAATCAGCAATTCGACACAGGTGGGGGGGGAGGAGACAACACAGGGCACCAGGTGCACTCAATCAACAGCCACAGACATGGGGGAAGGGGAACACTTTTAACATGAAACCAGGAAACAGAGACAGACAAACTAGTTACATCAATTACATATGCTTCCTGTGCAATGTTTTTAGTGCTATATTACCCGTAACGGAGGCCGAGATCTATGGGCCCAGAGATCACCTCCGTTACAGAGGGACTTCACCTCTCTATAGCGTGTTGATAGCATATATAGTTACAAAAAAAGGAGTGCAAGCTTTGAGGGAGAGAGGGAGTCTCCTGAGAGAATAAATAAGGGAGGAAAAGAAGTGAGTGCGAATCCTATGACAGAAAAATATATAGAGAGAGATAATGAAGGGGATTAAGTTCATGAGGATGAGTCAGGCTGTCGTTTACTCCTGGGCGGAGAAAGAAATACCAGATATGCTTTTACATATCGTTAGAATATTTCTATTTGCATGACTGGTAAATGCAAAGTGGTTTAAAAAGAGCCAGTGGAGGAAAACTGTCACAAACTAGGTCATGCAACAAATACCTAATACTAAGACAGCCAACCAGGAAGTAGTTTAAGTGCACAGCAAATACTGAAATAGTCTGGTTTTGCTTAAGATGTGACAATATGAAGTTCTTTTTATTGCTTTTTCAACTCTGCCACTAAAGTGTGAGTGGAATAATGAATGACTTACCTGTCCTTCACGCAAGTCATAGGAGATGAGCCTCATCTGAACTGGAGCGCTGCCGATGTGCGCTGACGGAGGAGCTATGGTTACAGAGGCTCCTTGGTTGGCCGCTAGAGGGAGGTCAAAGGGCACGGGGGGCACAGAGAGAGCCCGGTTCACCTTAACTTGAGTGGATGTCATGCTGGCAAGTCTCTGGAGGAAGAGAGAAGATGAAGAAAAAAAAAGAAGAAAGATATCCGTGTTAAAATAGAGACAGAAAGAGTGGAGTGCAAGTTACAGAGCGAGTGGGGTCAATGGAGAGACAGAATAACTGCATGAATAAATCATGAACCCCATTGAATAAATTGAATTCCACTCTATTATTACTAACAGCCTATAGGCCAAATGCATAACGATGGAAGGGTACTTCTACTGGAGGAAAGTAAAATATTCCTGAGACTGTTTTTAAATTAAAACAAGGCAATACGCTTTTCTGTGTGCATGGGTTAGGGACAACATGGGTAGATTACAGATGTCTAAGGAGAGTGTGTGTGTGTGTGTGTGGTGTGTATGTATGTGTGTGTGTGTATGTATGTGTGTGTGTGTGTGTGTGTGTGTGTGGCCTAGCATTACTATCCTTGTGGGGACCTAAATCTGTTTACACAGTCACGTGTGGGGACTCGCATCCCTTATGGGGACATATTGGAGGTCCCCATAAGGGGAATCATTAATTTTAGGGTGAAGACTTGGTTAGGTTAAGGGTTAGGGTTAGGGTTAGGCATGTGTTGGTTATGGTTAAGGTTAGGATAAGTCTCCAGGAAATGCATGTAAGTCAATGTAATGTCCCCTGAAGTGAAGTATACGTGTGTCTGTGTGTGTGTGTGTGGTGTGTGTGTGTGTGTGTGTGTGTGTGTGTGTGTGTGTGTGTGTGTGTGTGTGTGTGTGTGTGTGTGTGTGTGTGTGTGTGTGTGTGTGTGTGTGTGTGTGTGTGTGTGTGTGTGTGTGTGTGTGTGTGTGAAAAGAAGCATTATCAGTCCACTCACCGACAGGACTTCGGTCTCAGTAATGTTCCAGAAGCTCTTCCAGAAATGGACGTCCAGGTTCTGGGTGATGCGTTCAAACTCCGCCCCTCTCAGCTCGGGGTCGATGGCGTACTTCCCTGAGGTGAATAAAGAGCTGGCTGCTACACCTGAGGACGGGAGGAAGAGGACGCACAATGAGGAGGGGATAACAGAAAGGAGACGGGGTAATGCAAGAGAAGAAAGGGGTTTAGAGTTCAAAGTCAATGGAATATAAAAGAAGGATGTGGATGCCGGACGCGGGAGTGAAAATGGAAGTGTTTGCAGACAAAAGCGCAGAATAATGAGGATGAAATGAATGTAACAAAGACAGAAACAGGAGAAAGTAAGGCAGGAAAGAAGGAACATTAAAGGTGACTGGTGAAAGCACATCAAACAACTTGACAAAACTAACTTGCTGAGAATGCAGAAGAAAGAAGGAGCAACGACGGGAGGAAAGGATCAAGAAGGAAAACACAGCACACCTTAGAGATGAGAACTGTGGTCAAACTGAGTACGCACAGCCATATAACGTTACTGCCACACGGAAGTCTACCGTGCTACTGCTAATTTTAAAACAGAAGATGATATGGCATGACACTAAGGATGGGCACTAAAGGAAAGGAATAGCACTTTCAAACTGTACCACTCTTTAATTAAACTACAGACACAGGACAGCTACTGCAGGAGCTCTAGGATAGAAGCAACTTCTTCACATAGTCTTTGTTACTATAGAGGACTATCAAGAAGTGGGGTTCCAGCCAACTCACCATATGGTGCAATACCTCCTGCCTCCACTGTGGTGCAGCACAAAACACAAGAGACCATCAGAGTCCAATGATTCCTTTTTGAAATGTTAAATATTTACGTGTGTTTGCGGTTCAAATATCTGTACTTCTATCTCTGTACATAACTGTGTGCACATTAAAGCACCCAGATATTGTTCTAAACTGTATTAAAGTAAACAGGTATTATCTTGAACTGTATTGAAGTGAACATGTATTATTTGGGACTGTTTAAAGTAATCCTATATATCTAAACCTTCTTACTTACACTCCATGACCCAGAGACCCTGACACACACACATACACCTCCTGTCTTCATGCAGCACACACACATAAACTCCTTAACCCAGATATCAGCAACACACACACATACGCCTCTGCTTATCAGCATGCACACACACACACACATACACTTTCCCTCACTAACACACACATGTTCTTTTTCCAAGGATTCTTGCTGGGGAGAATAATCCGAAGCACCAATATATCTGTGTACAATGTTTGATTGTTTTAAAAGAATAGTTTGTGTGAAACCTTCCCTGGGAAATTAAAGGAGTTGGGTCCGGTAGAAGATAAGAAGTGGCTGTCCACCTCAAAATATGTCCATATATACTGTTGTTTCTTCATGCAAAATGCCCCCTGTTTCTGACTGGCTGGTCCTGATATCTGTATCGCACGGCAGTAGAGCGGGGAGCCCGGAGTGTTCTGTTTCAGGGCACTCTGTATTTCGTATTGTGTTTTTTACTGTATTAAAATCAGATTATTGTTATAACTTTTATGCCGGTGTTTTGAACTCCTTTTATTAAATCTGACCAGGCTCATCTAAAGGACGGCACGGAGCAGAGGTGGGCTTTAAGCCACCACTATTGTGTTTGCTCCTACAACGTTCAAAACACTCTGAAATATAGAAGAAGCACCCCAGCTCGGCCTCGAGACTCAAGAGGATGAAAGGGCCTCTACAATCCAAGCACACAGCATCAAAAAGGAAACACAGTCAGGGGCCATGGAGCAATGTGGAAGAGGCGTGCGGACGAGTACGATGGAGGAATGAGAATACAGTGACTGGGTGATGGGAGGGGACATCTGCAGACGGCTTGATGCTGACCTATTCCTGACTGATGGCGTTTGTAGTTTTCTCCAAAGGCCACGAGGCCGATAGCGATGGTCTGGAGACACGGCCGGATGGCTGGGCTGAACTGGAGGGATGGATAAAAGCAGAGACAGATTATTCATTATATTACATAATCTATTTAAGATGTACACTACACTTAAAACTGCTTTCATTTGAGCAGAGACGACGGGATATCAGATGAGTTTTAGACATAATAAATTGATGCAGAGGGAGGTTTGACTTTGGTTTGACTTTGATCTCTTTTTGCTGAGGGCTTAGCCTCTGTCTTTAGGATCAACAGAGACTCTGATTCTCTCACTTTAGTCATTTGTAGATCTGCAATTTGTTTTCCTGGCTTTACAAATTACAGTTCTGACAGCTCTCTGATCAGGGTCAATTCGCTTTAGTCTGGGTACCATGCAGCCCCTGGCATTGTCTTTTAAATAAATCACACATCCACAGGTTTGTTCTTTTTCCAAATAGAATATCATTTTGATTGACAGGCAATGGGAGACTTGGGAGCTTGTTACTCTCATATTATTTAAAAAAAATATTGCAAGCTATATAATCTAACAAGGGCAGTAACATAAGAGTATATTTGCCAGAGCTGTAGATGGTGCATTCAGGTGCTTGTCTGTATGTGTTAAGCCAGAATTGGTGAGATGGAAGTGTTTTTTCATGACGTTTACCTCTATTGTTGTCAGCTCCTTTTTTACTGTTGTCTTTATAATATATATCCTTCTAAAAGTGAATTACCTGCAGTTCCTACTTTGTGAACATTGAAGTACTTCCTGCCTCTCTTTCTTCCGAGTGTCCTACTTTTCTTCACATAAAAAGCCAATTCCAGTTCATCGAGCCTGAGGCACTGCTACTTCTAAGCCTCCCCATTCGTCACCCTTGCCAGCTTCCCCTGCACCATGCGGCTCCTCTCACCTGGAAGCCAAGGCATCGGCCATAGAAGCAGCCCTTGTGCATGGATGTGTATTCGCGGACAAAGGTCTCACTGAGGCCGCTCTCATCCTTGAAAAAGAGGTTTCCATGGCTGTTGTCGTGCAGCATGCGCTGAGCCAGGTAGAGCAGGGCGCGCAGCTGGCACAGAGCGTTGCAGTACGCCTCCATCTCCCCCGCGTTGTGTGCCACTCGAAAGAAGATGCTGCGGCGGTTGGCGATGATGTAGCGCCCTTTCTGGATGATGTGGAGAAGGCAGCAGCGCACAACCTACAAAATGAGGAAGATTGTAACATTAAAATGTAGGAATAATAGCAAGTCCTACCCCAAGATGCTACGCTCTCCTTATGCCAAAATAAACCAGCATGGTAATGTCAGTTAAGTTAAACCATAAGAATAAGAGTACTAGGTTGCTGTTTGTGTCGTTATTTGCGGTTATTGTTTTGTGGGTTTTATTATGTTTTGTTGTCCCTAATGTTTTTTGTATTGTCTCACCTGAAAATTAAATAAAAAAATTGAAAGAGAAACTATAAGAAACTAAATAAATGATGATGTAAAAGGATGGCATTTGTACGGTGAAATTATATATGTAGGCTTCTTTAAATAATGAATGATGAAGTCAAGGTTAATATTCCTATACTAAGAAATCGACCGGTTCGACCCATGTCGTTTTTGCTTTTCAACAAAGCAAATCATAGTTCTTTAAGTTGTGCAATCATTAAAGAGCCATGTCTTCTGGGTTTGCTGACATTGTAATTAGGTTTCTGGGGGTGAAGCTTGAAGGGAAATAAACTATGTATGGGAGCGTGCTTGAAAGCAAACATGTGAAAGGCTTGAACTAGCTTTAAAAAGGGTCTTGCAGATTAGTCTGAGTAGCACTTTGGGAATGAGTAGGATTATATATGTGGAAACCAAGAGGTAAGAACAGAGCAGCATTCATTTGCTGCTCTAGACTCATTCAATGTGGTGGGCTGCAGCCACCGAAGGTCATGATGTTTCGTCGATAAGTGTAGAAGACGAAGTACAGTAGGGGGTAGATATTCTGCAGCTGGAGGAATTTATCTAACCTGATTTCAACATAAAATCAATCTGTAAAACAAATGGGCTCACCTTGAAACAAAGCGATATCAAGCCGTTTCCCACAGTGTGGAGAGAATATTGATAAGGATTGCGGCAGGGGGGCTTATTATTCTCACAGCTGCACCGAGTGGAGATGTAAAAACACAGATCCAAGACTTAAGCACACAAAACATCCCACTGCTTACCTTGACCAGTGAGCGATAGCCATTGGCGGGTATGTGTGGGTCAAAGTCAAAGTGATGGTAAACTTGAGTGAAGCCGGAGATAATGGGCTCCAGACTGCGAGCGTGTTCCTTGATGAGCTTCATGGTGTCCACCAGGCGCCGCGCCGCATCGCCCTGCGAGCCTTTGGATCCTCCGGAGAAGAACTCTGCGTTCTCATCGCAGACGCTGTGCAGCGCCGTAAACACTGCTTTGGTGTCCATCACTAAGAACAGGGACAGAGAGAAAAAGTCAAAGGGTGAAAAATAAATAATTGATATTATTTTGAATGGTATAACAATGACTCGCGAAGTTGGAGGGAATTATCCTTTTTGAAACATCAATGAAAAATGCTGTGTTTTTTAAAGATCTGTACCAAACATGGATTTTATAATAAGTCTATATAATATCATTCCTAAAAATATACAAAATTCAGGAATTATATTTTCACACATTTGACCAATTATTGTGTTTACTGTGATTTTGACATTGCACTAATATCCAGTCCCTTTTGCAATTTTGATCAAACGTTGATTAGTTGCGGCGCACTAATGTAACGATGGGATGCAATGCATTCAAGGATTGTTAATGTGTGTCTTTATGTATTCTGGTGGGGAAGTGTTCACTTAGCAGATTACTCATTACCTTGTATCCCATAACAATCTCTGATCTCACCATCAAACATTCCACCTTGCTGACCCCTATGCATTTGTTAAATTAAAGACCTTTTTGCCTGTAGTTGTTAAACTCGACTGTCAGCTGGTCTTGCAAGCATACAAAGTAGCACCCTGATGCTTATTCTGCACCACACCCCCACTCTCCATTATCATGTAGACACTGTAAAAAAGGTAGGATATCATTGGATATATCCTAATGTTCTCTTACTTCTATTAACTAATCCCCGGTAGCCTGGCGTACAAAAGCTCATTGATTGAAACGTGTTAAGCAAGCCTTGAAATTAAACGATGTAATGCTGGGCTAAGCAGCCAAAATCCACCAAGACCTATGCAGACATGCATGAAGCAGGAGGAGAGGCCCTCCGCTGACGCAAATACTGAATAAAAACACACTTGCATAAGAGTCCCAAAGGAAGGTGTGTACAGCTGGAAACACACAGCGGAGTGTGTTCATCAAGTGTGCCAATACCCCTGCCCTAATGCAGCATAACAAGGATCTGGTTCTGTGTCCCTGATGGACTGAGATCTGCCGTCAAGTCACCGGAGACCTCCGTTTCCACAACACATGAGCCAGAGAACAAGCTGGTATTTACTGTATAGGGTGACGGCATGCTGAGAGACGGGGGAAGAGGAGCTGCTGGACACACAGAGATTACAGCTCAAAGAGACAGCAGTGCTTTCTTAATAGATGAGAAAGTGGGACTTTTAGGGGAGAGGCGAACAAGGGGAAAGAGAATATTCCGTTTTTTAAGAATGGGTGTTACCTAATTATCTTATCTAGCAAGGCTGACGCACATGTATCGAGAGATCATAGAAAATAACCATCGGTTCAGTTAAATGATTAAATCAAATGAATGTATAACTCTAATAAACATCCCAAATGACAGCAGGTGTCCTTGATAATAGCAAACACCTCTCTTCAAAGGTGAGTTCAATAAAGCATTACAAATATGAAATTAAAACAGCACAATGGTTTTTACAGATCAACAAAGCAGCATCTTGGGATGTGGAGTGGAAATCGTACAAAGATTCCCACGAAAGTGAAATATTGTTTCGAGGGTCAAAGAAATGATGGGAGCCCTTATCGCGCAATTATTCTGCTATTCCATGCCATTCAGAAAGAGTAATGGGAGAGGCCATTTCAGTTTGTTCGGAGGAATCACAACTCCCCGCCATCTGGAGAGAAACATCCATCAGCCAGACGACTTCCTGCACACACGAGCTTTGCATGAGAAATCACCGTGACTGACTTTTCTGTGCTTCTCACTCCACGCTAGACGCCCTTTTTTGGCACGTTCTCATTGGTTACATATGAAATGTAAGCAAGGGATAAGTGAATCATATCACAAAGATTTATTCAAAACAAATTTGAAGTTGGAAAACTTGAACACTGTTCGCTTTTGCATTTAGCACTCAGCTACTGGACTGTTTTGTATTTATACATTACCAAACCTGAGTGAGGAGCGCTGCCTGTTTCTTCCCCCTCTGCAGGAAACATGCCTCATCATCCGGACACACCCGACTTTAACCCCACGAGTTAGAGCTGGGCCTCACATTCCAGAAATGAATGAAAACACAGAAACATGCAGTTCTTTCGCATATTCAAATATCTGTATTCAAGTACCCCGTTTCCATTTATATCACAGGCCAAATAGTTAGAATTACCTACAACCAGGAAACCCCCCCGTGTGTGTAATGTAGCCATCTAGAGCATGCTAACGTACCATTGAATGTAGGAGACATGTATTGGCCCTGGGGTATTGAAACAAACTGAAACACATCAGCAGAACCAAATGAGCGGACTGCACAGAGCAGAACTTTAGCGGGGATCAAGTTCTATGTATTCAGCCAACGCTTAATAAAGCAGCTCAAGGCCTAATTTCACGTACAGTGAGCTCATCCCATGACTTCGAGGAAAAGTCATCACGGAAACAGAATTGACATTGTGCTAGTTATATACAGTTAAGATGTTTAATAGTGGTGTTGTATGAAGTCATTATCCATAGTGAGCGCATTACTGCTTCAAAGCCATCCCTTCATTTTAAAAGCTAGAAATATAGCGCCTCAAAATAACTCTAAACATCACAAGACAAGATTTGATTTGTGATGTGTAGTTACATTGTCTTTCTTTGAATCATTGGGATCATTTTTATGTTGTGTTTATCCAAAGGACATTTACTGGAATCCAGAGCTAATTAGCAAATGTCCTTATCCCAGTAAAAAAAGGTCAAAGCTTTCTTTTAGTATTATATATAACTCCGTCTCCACGTTATAGAGTTCCAAACCAAACAGAGATGTACAGCAATTTGGGGTAAGGTATCTTGATAATAGATAGAGGCCTGAATAACTATATTTATAACTACGTGTATGGGTGGATGTCATCTTAGAGTTTCAAAGATTACAGATGTGTTAAAGGTGGGGTAGGTAAGTTTCAGAAACCGGCTCGAGATAAACCTTTTGTTATATTCCATGGAATGCTCTTAACATCCGATAGCAATGGATATCTGAAGTGCTTTGACAACAAATCCATAACAAAATGTCATCTGTGGAAGCCGTAATACTGTAAAAAGTACAACCAACCCGTTGAGCCGGCCCGGCTAAACGGATTGGATTGTCGCCCTGTCTGTCAGCCTTCCATCTCGTGCACAAATGTATCTCGTGCCCTCATTGGTCATGTGCGCGTTCGTGTGTGTTGGAGGAGGTGCTCTGTAAGGAAGTCTGAAGGAAGGGGCGAATTCTTTTCGGCTGTGTACTTTCAAATTTTGGTGCACTCGAGCCGGTTTCTGAAACTTACCTACCCCACCTTTAAGAAAGGAATAGGGAGGAACAAAATATGAGTAAATGCAAGTCTCGCGGATATTACGCAATCTTTAACAACACATATGAATCATGGAGGATCGACGAAGGAAGTCTACAGTACTTTTCACTTTCAAAGTAATTCAGCAGCTAACGACAATCACACTCATACAGTCCTGGGCTTGTTGCTCAATATCAAGATTTCTCTAAGACTCAGCGGATTACGCACTGGCGCTGAATGTTCTCAACCCAACAACACAGGAAACAGTTACTATATATGTGCAAAGAAATCTACTAATGTCATCAGAATAAAACACCAAGAGGAACAAAGAACTTCTATAAATACACATTGAGCCGACTGCATGGACAGCATCAGCCTTATGTGGCTTAAAGGGACACAATGAGTGCCTTTGGTCAAGCGGCAGCCACCCAAACACTTTGCTGCAGGACCCGCTATAGCAGCCCATGGGCGAGCAGCCAACATTAAAATTGCATTCCTAATTAGAGCAGGAGGTACGACTCTCAGATGGGAAAGCTAATAGGCCTTATGGTGACAGAGTGAGCAAGGAGTGAACTTTATGAACCCCTGGATCAGCAGAAGCTCCTCTGAAAGTTGCTTGATGATAATGAAGCCACATTACGATGACCAGGGAGTATATCAAATGATACGAGTTATATGAACCACTACAATGTAATAGAGAGCTTCCTCAGAGAGTTCAACATGCCTTAGACCAGTGAAGACTTTGACGTAAGATAATATTCAAACAATAAAGCTGCCACGACACAAAAACATATCTCACCTGCTGTCCGTATCGTCTTTTGTGCATCAGCATTACCTACATATAACTGTCAGTATGGAGCCATGTGTTTCAGCATCATCCTTCCTGTGGTACTGACACAAGTGGTCACTGTAATCCCTCTGCAGCCATTAAGCTGCTCCTTGTCCCTCCACATTAAAGATGGATGAGAGCAGGCATTAATAAGTCATGCACTACAACCAACACCAGCGACACATAAAGATATATAATGAGTCCAGCAGGGCCCCGCATGCAGTGCCAAAAGTACCCGCGGGCTGATGGTAGCATTTCAATGATGGTAAAGAGAGCAACTGCCAAGTAAAGCTGGAAGAGCACAAAAGTTTAAAGTGCTTTACCAGCTTTGAGTTCAAGGCTCTGTCCTTCGCTGTCTCCTCTCTTCCAGCTGAGTTCAAGGCTCTGTCCTTCGCTGTCTCCTCTCTTCCAGCATGGAGAGAAGGAAAGAGAGGAAGGTAGTTGTTGTCTGATTGTCTTCCTGCTGCACGCCTGTCACTGCCTCATCTTTACGGTCAGACGTGGCTCTTCTCCTGTCAGCCTCTGTTTGTCAGACTGTCATAACCAACTCTACTCAGAGGCAATGAGTTGTCATTTTTCTTTCCTGTGTGCTTGTCCCTCACATGGTTCTTTTAAAAGACACCAGACAGCCCCTTCCCAGATAAACTCAAGTCCTTGTGACAGTGGGGCTTTCTTTCTATTGGATGTTCATCTTGCAACGCCCTGTGACCTTTTAACCTAATGGGCAGATCATGTACAGAGAGACAGTGGCAGGAACCCACAACCCAAGATTATAAAATGATACACCATTTTTGAATTGTGGCTTTTTCCTTTATTTGCTCTGCTTCATTCCAAACAAATAGCAGTACAACTAAATGTACCAATACATCGATTTCATAACATAATGTTGGCCCTCTGACGATTAGAGCACACGATGTCTTTGAATGCCTTCATTTATTCTGACTAAAAGTCAAACGAAAGTGTGTACAAATGATAATAATAAACAAATAAAGGAGAAATGTCCTTACTTTTGCACTTCTGGTTTAATGCTGCATTTCATAGTCTTACTTTTACTAATACTTTTATTCTGTGCAATGTATAATCTAATCATATCTAAAACATAGAGCTGTCACAAGCCTAGCATTAAACGATAACTCAATAAGAACTGTGTTCATCAAATGATTGCTTATCATATTACTCGCTATTCACCAAGTTTACATTACATGTTAGACTTTGTCTGTTGAGCAATAGTTATGAAGCATGCATGTGCTATACGAGTAAATAAATGCTAATGTTTAACAAAGCAGAACAAGGACATCTTGTACACAACCGAAATCGAGGGATACAATGTATTTTAGGGAGTTCAGTCGAGAGGGAGAACATGACCTTTAGTTTGGACTTCTTGGATGAAATCACAGATAAAAGCCCCCTATCCCGGAGAACTGAGACATGACCCCTTACCCATACAGAGATACACAAACACACCCGGAACACAGGACACGTCACCCAAAGTCCCACTTGTTGCTCTTACGACCAGCTGTGAACAGAATGTGGCTTGCTATTGTTGCTTGTTAATCGTTTTATTTGGGAGGGACAATGCACAGTAATGAACACTTAAAACGTTCAAATGTATCAAGCGTAACAGTACCAGATTTAGCTTTGAGCTCATTTCCATCCGCAGTCCCTCACATACAACATTTAAGAAAATTACATTTTACAAACACAGCAAACCAAAATACATGACATGCAGAAAGAGCAAGAGCAGCATATACAAGTATTTACCACATGGCAGTACACTATGGCAGCTACGACAGATAAAGTGCAAGAGGAGATGCCCCTGTGTTAAAGTGCATTTAGCAGTGATCGCACGTCTGTTTGTTTCTCAACCATTCTTTGAGTTGACCTTTAAAGCTATTGAGAGTGGGACGATCCCGTATCTCAGTTGGGAGGCTATTCCACAATGAGCTGCCTTTAACGGAGAGGACATTTTGTCCAAAAGTGGGGCCATCTACGGTGGGACTTCACATATGTCCTCTGGTTTCTGACCTAGTGCAGCGTTCCAGTGTGTCTTCTGTGGATGAATTCCCCTAAGGGGGGGGGGGGGGGGGGGGGGGGGGGGGGGCAGTCCATGTAAACATTTATAAAAAAAAGCACACTTTTAAAAGACTTAAAATTGTCAAAGCTCAAGAATTGTGTTTTTTCAAGGATGGTACAGTCGGTGGTAACGTGAAGTTGGTCAAAAGTTAGGCCGTGACCCTCAGAACAACACTGGTCTTGGTGTGGAGGACCATGAGGGAATTTCTTAGGATTAAACTTGGCATGTTCGGCTGCTTTCTCACGTTTATCTTGAAACAATCTGCACATCTGTAAAGAGCTTGTACTCTGTATTACATTATTGTCTTCATGTATACTTTGATGCAGGTATGCAATCGAACTTGTCAAATGGGGTAGAATTGTATTTTCACATTTCCCGTCATTGAAATAAACAGCTGACAGTTTCAGTCCTGTCGAGAAAGCTTTTTTAAATGTTAACAACGCTTTGGATCATATTTTCCGATAAATCCTGAAGCTTAGATGGCAACACTAATACCTTTTCATATCATCTCTCTTTAGTTCCTCTTACTACTGTCCAATGCATATATTAGTATACTTCTGTTTTGCAACTGCTGCCAAACGTAGAACTTCAGCAATGAGAAATACAAACAACCAGTTGTTCTTGTCTGACACGCCTCACAGAATTTAGATTTTCACTGCAGAGAGTCCTGACCTCAGTGTAGGTGGGGGTGATCAGCTGGTTGCCGTAGTGATACAGCTTGAAAACTTCTGTGTAGAAAAGGGAGACTGTATGAATCCTCTGATGGCCAACTCGAACAGAGGACACTGCATGTACTCAAGGGCCCGCGTTCACACCGCAGTACTTTTCCCGCTTTAGTTCCGATATTAGTTCCGAAATGTCGCGTTCTCACCAAAAGAGCCGGGACTAAAATTTGTTTATGAGAACCTTTTTTACCCCCTTTTCCGTCCCTGCTACAGAGCAGGGACTTTCGTGGGAGAAAAAGGTTCCTTTGTCTGATTGGATTCCAAACCACGCCCCGTAAAACTCCAAAAAAGTTTTGTGAAGCCGCCATTTTATTATCCTTGCATTAGCATTATTAGCATTAGCATTAGCCCCAGCACAGAAACACAGAAGAGACTAACTTATGGCAACACAAAAGAAAACATGGGAGCGGTGGAGATGAGGAGGGTGTCGGCGTTCTGCCGATTTACTCGGAAGGCCCCCCCAACTTTCGGGGACTTCCGGCCGGGGACTTCGGGTGGCAGTATACACCGTGAAGTTGTTTGCGGCCTGCCAGTAAACCCAAAGCAGAACAAGTGACGTCAGCGGCTTCATTTGCCCTATCCTTCCCCAGGAACTTAAGTTCCGGTGGTGAACGCGATCTGTACTTAGTTTAGTAAAGAACTAAGTTCTCATGAACCTTTGTGGGAAAAGTTACTGCGCTGTGAATGCGCCTAAGGGTAAGTGTTCGGAGTGGTTTGGCCTCCTGCCATTAGGTTTAAATCTCAAATTGGCGCTAGTTTGCTGATGGAAATTGAGCAGGATGTACCATGACACACAGGGGATCATTCTTTCTGACCAATGGGTGGACTGCAGTGTTTTTATGTCAATTTTGGTATAGGCTCTGCTCGCCCGGATTCTACCCTAGTGGAAACTAGGGATGCATAATATCGGTCCGATATTAGGAATTATGACGTCATCCCGATAAAACCCGATACCAGTATTAATAGCCCCGATAATATACAATATATTTTTTGGGTAAAAAAAAAGAAAAAATACTGCGGTGTGGGTGGGATTGGATGAGGGGCGCTTGTTTTTCACTCGGCTCCTCCCGTTTTGCCAGTACTGTGGTATTAGTGGTTAGGAAGAGGGGAGTTCTTCACAAATCCAGCGCTCCCTAACTCATGTGACGTAAATGGTGTGCGGCCGTGAAACCAGGACAGTAAACAAACATGTCGTCGGTGGTATGGGCGTTGGAGCTATGTGCAACTCAAGGCATATGCTCGAACCGGAGCTGCCTGGACGCTGCAATCATGTTGCGCACTATCCGTGCTGAGTGTGCTGACTTTTCGTACAATGTCCCACTGTCTGGCTGCCTGCATAAAGTCAAGTGCTCGGCGCAGTTGTGGCGAAATGTCGCTCCTCTGTTTTCATTTAAACAGCTCCCTTTATCCGTTAGCGCAGCTAGCTAGCACCAGATGCTAACAACAACAATGCACGTAAGGTCTCTCGCTTGCTCGGGCCACACATACACACACCCTCCCGGTCCTCCAGATAGCCAGTCGGTGCCTGCCGGTGAGCGTGGAAGTGTGGTCTGCCACAAGCGGGCGGCAGGAGCGGGGCTGTCAGCATCAGCTTGTAGATGGTATTTTAAACTCGATGCGCTCTGAAACTACGGGGCGGCCGAGGAAAAAAAATACACATGCGTTAATCGCGTTAAATAATTAGTGGCGTAAAAATAAAAATGTGTTATCGGTCTTGAGAAGCAGGAAGTTATCGGTATCGGTTTCAAAAAACCAATATCGTGCATCCCTAGTGGAAACCCAAGAAAAGAGGGAGCCAAGCGGCAGAGACCCGTACCATGAAGTGGAAACACACTACATTTGAGCCACTTCTAAATGTCAGTATGATGTACTGTGTTGATCTCGTCTAAGCCGTTTCTAACTCATGGCCCTCTTGTGTTTCTCTTTATCAAGCCTGAGCAGACACATTCAAGACATGTGGGAAATGTTAGGTTGGGGTCCATGTAAGTGAAAGGATATGAAAACCCAGTGGCTGTAGGGTTGGGAAACACTGTCACAGCACAATGAGCTCATTTATCATTGCAACTAGAAAGAGTCCAAATGGGTTGTAAGTTTACACCGGTCATTGTTAAAGTTAAAACGCAAACATTTCACCTTTTATGTCAATTTCTTCTAAAAGGAAAAGGAAACCTGGTCAGTGTTCTTTCTAACTTGCACAGGTATATGATACTGAAATATTTGGTCTATAGGAAGCAGGCTTTAAAAACAGAACGCTTTGAGCGGTCCAACGGTCAAGAGGAAAGTGCCAACAGCAGGGGCTCTGTGGTGTCGTGTTAGGAAAGCCATTGACCCTTTCTCCCAGACAGAGCACCTTCAAACACACAGCGCCAAAGTGAACAACAGGAAACGAGCAACAATGAGCTTCCACTCCCCCTCCAAACGGGACGCATGGGCTTCCCTTCAGTACTCTAACACAATGTATTAAAGTAAAAGAAAGTTACACATCTGATCTTTGAGTCTGATAAAATAAGTAATGTTAGGTCTTTTAATCCCGTTATTGAGGCATGAGGCAGTTATAAACGTACCGTTCAAAAATAGGCAGGCACAATAATATGTTATTGTGTTAAAGGGATCGACACTTCCAAAGCTAAGGAAGCCTTTTTGAAGTGGTGGTGGTTTGTGAGTGGCTGGATTGTTTTAGTTACGGTAAGACAGTGGCCTAGTTAACAGGAGAGCAGGGCAACAGAGGCAGAGAGTTTAGTCATAACAGCAGATCCACAGTGCCTTCGGGAAAGCAGCATCCTGTAAATCAGCCAATCTGTTCGTAACCATGTGTTTCCATTATGTCACACAACCTGAACTGACCCAATCAGAACGCAACATCGATTCATTACGCAGTACTTCCTTATAACACACTCAGGGAGGTGAATGTATACACTCAGTGGTGTAAAGTAACTAAGTACATTAACACAAATACTCTACTTAAGCATAATTGTGAGGTACTTCACTGAGTATCTCCATTTCCCTGCAACTTCATACTTTAACACCACTACAATTCAGAGGTAACTAGTGTACTTTTACTACACTACCCTTATTTAATACCTTAAATTACTTTGCAGATATGGATTAATGATATAAACAAAATCAACGCTTTGAATAATACTTTAGTTACTGGACTAAATTCACAAACTACCCAGCAGTAAATAAAATAATAAAAAATAGTTCCACCCTTACAAGCTATGGTAAACATCGTCAATAATTATTTTATAATCAAAACATATAATCTGTATCATTCAGAAATGGGCCAAAATGATGCCAATACTTTTAGTTGAGTAAGATTTTGAATGCAGGAATTATATTTGTATCAGAGTACTTCTACTCTCTGGTACTTCTACTTTTACAAGAGAGTACTTCTCCCACCCCTGCATACACTGCACCCCTCACCTCTGTGTATGACTGGTACCTGATCAGGTGGTCAGTGTCAACGGCTCAAACTAAGGGGCACATAACGTGACCATGTGACTATAACACAGCATGGAGCCACATATTTGTAGTCTACTACAACAGCAATGACGTCACAGTTATTTCTAAGGTACACGTAACGTTGCTATGACCCGAGGATGCTTGTCACTATGGGGACGCCAGAGAAGGACGTCAACCGGTGACTTCTTTTAGCAAAGCTTCTGTAAACAAACAGCCCAGAATTAATTAGATGTCATCAGTGTCTGCTCGGTTTAAGCTCGTAAAACAATCACAGGAACTAAGCAGCTGACAGACCCAGCGGCTTAAATCCTAGCTGTTCAATTCGGCTGTCGGAGGCCAAGCTAAATGCTAACAGGAAACTAGCGGGGGGGGTGAGAGTTTAGGAGGGTTCAAAAGGGGAACAGAGGTTAATGAAGCGTCCAGTGTGACGATACAACTCA